TTACGCTCTAGTCATGTTCATCCGCAAGATCTCATTCGAGTGATGCTTCGTGTTGTCGAAATTCTACGTGAATCCCCGGAGTATCAGCAAAGATCGACACAATGCTCGGGAATGTGCTCTTACCCGAACTGTGGCCGCGTATGTGCTCGAGCAGATGAAGGTCACAATCATTGTCGATGCTATTACCATCAAGTCAATGACCGCACTGAGCGAGCCAGGAAGAAGCGTAGACTTGCTTAGGCACTTTGCTGTTGTGCTGATCAGGAAGAGTCGCGATAAACAACGTGCACCGTGATGCTTCCTCGCCCCTTTGGGGGCTTGTTTGTGTTATCCTGCTGTGCATGCGAGATTTTTTGCAGTCCATGGAAACCTTTTTTGAGTCGCTTCTTTTTCTTGGTTTACAGGAAAGAGTTTTCATTCTTTTGTCATGCAGGGGGCGTGGCGGTCACATCCTAGCCACGCCAACGAAGCTATGGATGTTGACTGGATGGGTTCACAGACGTGTGAGCCTGTACCTGCAAAAAAGCTGGGCCCCTGAGCCAGCGAGATTAGCAAAAAAGTTTCTTTCGAACAAGGCAGGTTTGCAGGTTTGAACATGTCTTTCGCTTGTTTTGAAGCTTTGTACGGTTGCTGCAATCTGTTTGAGCATGTCCATGAGAGTATCTGCATTGGACGATCAGAACATCCAGAAGGCGGGGTCAGTAGGAGCCATTACAGTTGTGGGTTAGAACAAGTGCAGAGTTTGGACACAGACCTGGGTTCCCCAGTCGTGGCTGTCTCTCCTGCCTGTAGCCTAAGGCCCCACAGCTACCCGGCTGATGCTTAAGTTTTAGGTGTACAGCGGTGCTGAGCAAAGTCTTGGAACGCCAAGGTTCTGGTTTTCCCAAGTTTCACCCTAAATTTTGGCCTCGGGCTGCGAATGCTTTCGCTCTACCATTGAAAAGTTTTACTCACTCCGTGTGCTTGCCCACGTCGTTCGTACCGTTACGTGTGCGTTTGGGACTCGACTGAGGCATGGTGAGTGCATGCTGTTGTTTTGGAGACAGACTTGAAGTCCTGAAGCAATCCCCAAAGGTTTTGCGTGTTTCTTTTGCTTTCCTCCTTTGTGTAGCAAAGTTGAGATGGAATTTGTAAGCCTTGAGACCTCTCTTAGTTTCTATAATCATATCATAAATATTTGGCATAATGATCGGAAAACTAACCTTAAACCACCTGTACCCTTAAGTACTTTTGAGAGACTTATTTCATTGACAGGGAAAGTTAAAGCGCACAAGCCGTAGATTTTCAGCATGTAGATAGAGATAAGAAAACTTCTGGTGTGCCAAAATTTTTCCTTGCGCCATATGTGAATGGATTGCTTGGTTTTCATGTCAACCTGCAGTTGAGTATCCACGTGACAGCCAAGCGTTTTGCATGAGTGAATCCTTGCGCGTGGTCAGCGCCTGGCTGCAGCAGTAGCTAGTGCGCGTAAATTTAGAAAGATGAGCACGCCTGCTCAAACACTTCGCCTTGCCAAAGGCTACCACTCGTTATGAAAAAATTGGGGTTTTTGGTTGATTGTAGGGTTTAGGGTTTTCAATCAGCCCCCGTGGTTTATGGCGGGTTTTAGAGTTTAGGGTTTAGGGTGCAAGGTTGAGGTTTGAAGTGTAGGTTGTGGTTTGTGGAGGGTTTACGGTTCAGGGTTAGGGTTCAGGGGTAAGGCGGTTAGGGCGGTTAAGGCTTCAGGTTTCCCTTCTTGCCCCCCTGTGGTTCATGGTGGGTTCGGTTGTAGAGCTTAGGGTTCAGGGTTTCGGGTTGAGGGTTTTTCTCTCCCCCCTGTGGTCCGTAGTGGTTTTGGGGTTGATGGTCAGGGTTTGCGGGGAGTACCATGGGAGGGTGGGGGGCGGATACTATGGGGGGCCGGGGTTCGACAACATGGAGCACGGGCCCATGCACCCTATAGAGGGATGAAGTCCAGCCATCACTGGAGCGTCAGCTGTCTCCACCAAAGCCGGATCCTATAGAGGATGCTGATAAGCGGCCCAATCGGCAGCCCGCAGCGCAGCCCAAGCCCAAAAGCGGAGGGGTGGCAAAGGTCGGGCCGGCAGAGGAAGTGGTGGCCTGGCTGAGCGTTTGCACCAGCACAGTCAACAGCACAGTCAACAGCAAACCCAAGGTCGACCCTGTCGGCGCAGCGGGCCTGCCGGGTTCACATGGGTTCACTTTTCGCACTTAACATGGGTTCACATGTTCCGCCGTGACAGTGCCAAACCCTCAAAACAATCACCAACAAATGGTCGGTGGCATGTCAACACTGCAGCATCAGTGCACCCTCCCCCGCATTCGTGCAGCAGTGCAGAGGTTTCTATGTTGACTTGCTTAGCAATCTCGGCTTGCTTTGGTTTGTTTGGGATCACAAGGAAATATCAGCTTGTTGTTGCAAGCAACGGTTGATTTTTTCTAGATTGTAGAGTTGTAGAATTTGCATTCCTATCATGTCAAACGAACCAAACCTACCACAGCCATAGGACCTTAACGCTTTGCTGGGGGGGGTTTCCCAGATGGCAGCGCCACTGTCAGCAGATGTGGTTGGCCCCGGTGGCCGCATCAGAAAGGTCGAGTTTCAATCGACAAGGCTTGTGTAGGGGTACTGTCATGCCGTTGTATGAACTGCTTTTATTTGGCTGCTATTTGAGTAACATGAATACTTTGGTAATATTCAAGAAGCAAGTTGATATTATTACTAGGGCTTGTCATGCCGTTTGCTAAAGTCGGCGTAACAAACCGGCTCAGCACCCGTTGAGTGAAGGCAGCCTGCCGCTCGACTTCATCATCGCTTCAGGCAAGACAGCGGAGCGTTTTGTGCCACGATGTGCCCTTCAACCCTAAACCCTAAACCCTAAACCCTAAACCCTAAACCTTTTTTCCATCAGAGTTTGGACATTCAATAGAGAAGCTTGTGTTTGGGCTGCGGGCCTTTCGTTTTTGACGTTTTTCGGGTTTAAGTTTTCCATAGTTTTCCAACCAACATGCAGGTCTCTGACGGGAAGCTTGGATTTGGTAAAAAAGCGGTGTAGTGGTGTTTGTCATGAAAATTGTCCAACCAGAGCTGTCTTTCCAGATCTCTTGTTTGGGTTACGTGCGTCCGTGTGCTTCCGCTTGCTGAAACATGGAAATGCAGCACCATTCACTGCAAGAATGCATCTGGAAGTTCGGTTGACATGCATCACGCACGTTGAACAGGTTTCTTAAAGTTCCGCCGCGATCGCATTTGTAGCCCACGCCCACGGGTTTGATTTCTGCTCGGAAATCTGTTTGGTCAAAGAAACCATGTTGGCCAAGAACCGTGTGGAATGTCCCAAACTAAAGGCACCAAGTTGTGTTTCACACGTTTCTTGCTGTAGCTTTCCTGCATCACTTGCTGTGATCGCATTTCTAGCACTCGGATGTTGACCTTGATTCGAAACCTGTTTGGAGTTCCTTGTAAAACAGGAAGTGAAGCCAGGAGAGCCGAACCATCTATCGTTTCAGGGCCTCCTTCGAATCGGCATCTTACGTTGAGGATGATTTGCCAAGCATCGCGGATATGAGAAGCAACCAACATCCAATCGTACTCGCCATGCAAACTGTAGCATGGAAATACATAGCCATCTGATGGTAAATGATGCAATCACTTGGATTGGAAAAGGTGTGCAAAACATCTCGGCGCCCGGAAACGTCGTGGTTCCGTGCCATCAACTTGTCAATCTAGGCTCGCCAAGGGAGAATGTAGTATGTATGCCAAAATCAGCTATGCGCATTTTTTCAAGTGCAGTCAGAAAAATCCCAAGCCCTTGCTTGAGTGTTCAATCTTGGCGTGGAAGAAAAGAGAAAACAGCAAGACAGGTGATGTTTTCAGTGAGTAGGAGCAGGACTGAGTAGGAGTAGGAGGACGAGCTCGGAGTAGTAGCAGAAGCAATTGGTAGTAAGTCAGTAGTAAGAGTGGTCGGCGTAGCACGTTTACCCGGAGTAAGTCTGAGCACTTTGATCGCTGGCCAGGTATAGCTTTACGGACCAGGCCAATTCAGGGTTGTGTTGGAGACCGATATTGCGAGATATTGCGAGCATGGGTCACCGAAGAAGCCGTGGATCCTCGATGATGCAGAGTTTGTCAAGGTGTGGTTTGAGCTTCGGGGCTTCAAACTTGTAGAACATGACAGTTGTATGTACATGACCCTGGACCCTTCATTGCTCAGTCCATCTGGCTTTTGTGCATTGTAATAATATGTGGAGAAACCAGTGGCTTGATGTGGCTCTGCAAGTCAGGTAGAGTAGTTTTTGTAGGCCCTTGGCGGCTTGCCAGCCCGAAACGAAACCGAAACCCTGCACCAAACGAGGGGTTTCTGTGCTCTGGGGTGCAAATGACTTAGCTTGGTGCACTTCTCCGTTGGCGGGGTCAGCGGATAGCTACAGTACGTTGCAGTAGACTGCCGCTTTATACAAAAGGCTGTCGGAGAAGGTCTTCAAAGCACGTTGCGGAGGCTTCTACAGTGTATCACGGTGGCTCGTGTGGCCTGCGGTGGGTGTGCTCTGTCGGGTTTCTTTAACTCGGCTGCAGGTCCGAAGACCATCACGAACGCCCGCAGGGTACCCCCCACCCCCCAAAGTGCATTTACAAATAATGTACATCGTGGGCCTAATGGTCCTAATGGTCCTGGTGTACATCGGGCGCGCTCCTTCCTAGAGCTGTTTTTAGGACACAGCCAGAAAGAAGCCCGTATTCTTTGATGCGGGTTGGTGGCAGTTATCGGTGCAAGATGCATTTTTTCAATGTGCTCATGATTGCTCAGCAGGCATCAGTGCGCATATCATGATGCCTTGAGTTCAAGTGCAACAAAAGCCACAGGTGCGGTGCAGGCAGCTTATGAACTTTAAGCCGGCGTCAAGCAAACCGAGCGGCCTGGGCAAAACATGGCAAAATTGCAATGTCGTAAGGCCTAAATTGTGCTGCGGGGCTTGTGGGCTGGAATTCTCCACCCCAGGACAAGCACTTTGTGCTGACCTGGGGCGGTGGAGTCTCGCCTGTGGTTGAATCCAAGGCAGGGCCTTAAGAATCCTAGCAGCTTCGGAGGGAAAGAGTTGGGATGAGGGGTCAGGATTTCAAATTTGAGACAGTATGGACACTGTTGTGGCTGAGCTGCCGCAGCTGCTGTGCCATGTGTGGAATCTACTTCCAAGCACGCACAGTCTTCCTGGAGCAGTAAGTTTCTGCCTTGTAGCCGTTTTTCAGACAGTTCTGGGAGTTGTTCCCCCGGTGCTGCTAGAAGGGGCCACTGCAAACACACAAACAATCTCAGAACAACTTCTCAACTGGTGTTGCTTGCTGCTGGTGAAGATTTTTGTGACGTGTGAAGGCGGAGTTGCTAGCCGCGTTGAAGAGTGTTGGGGATGTCAGGCGGGTCATGAATGCATCAGAGAGTGGAGCGAGTGCATCGCGCAAGCCAAAGCAGCTATGATGCCACAGCAGAATTGGTGACCTTACCTCATTGCGGCTGCCAGTCTGGCTCATCGTGCCTCCTGCCGGTTGCACATCCAAAGCGGCTTTGATGTGGCATCAGGGCACCTTGAAACCTTCAAGGCCAGCCCTACGAAAAAGACCTTCGCTCTGCGCGCGTACTGCAGCATGAGAATTGGCCTTTGTGCCCGAACAAATTCCCCAGAGCAGGCGACAGCATAGGTCCCATGGGCCCGCGCAGTCAGATGATGTGCTCCCGCATGTTCCCGCCTAGGTCTGGAATCCAGCGAACGGGACACCGTGGAGGACTCACCGTTCAAGCAGAGGAACCCGAAGGCTCGCCAGTTGCCGATGCAAGTGGAATCGCTGAAGAAGGGGTGCATCCAAGACGTAGCGACGTAGTGAGGCAAGCATGTCACCAAGTCACAGCCGTCCTCAGACTGTTCGAGCTTCCTTCGTGTGGGTGCCCCTGCCATAATTGTAAGTATTCAGTCCGCTCGACGACTGCTGCTTCGAAGCTCGAAATGCAGTACCGCAGCTTTGGATGCGACGGCTGTCACAAAACAAAATTTCACGCTATACTTCTCTACACGCTTACATCTGCATATACATACGCACGCATGCTCTATATAGTCCCCACGTATAGCGGTTCTCATCGGGCTATCCGCAGTTTAGCTCGTCTTATGCCCTCAGTCGTTGAAGCCTGAACAGTATCAGTCACCCTGCCGAGTGGACAGAACACACTCGCTTTTGTGTGTTTTTTGTGACTCTAGACACCGTTGAAGCACCCTTATAGTCAATGATGTGCGAGCGATGGAGCCGAGGCCCCGCTGTAAAGAGCTGTCACAGGGTTTGCGCTTTGTCCAGGGAAATGGTGTTCCTCTGAGAACTTCTGGATCGGTGCCGTCATTGGGGATTTGGGGGTCAGCGAATTCGCAATATCGAGCGGCTCGCCGGTCGGAAGAAGGCATGAGTAGCCTGCTTGCAGGGCTGAGGGTTGACTCATGCGGCGCTTCCATTGCCGAGGGACCTGCCGGTCCGGCCACAAGTGCAAATTCGCCGCTGAGCTGCAGTGAGCATTTCTTTGGCAAAGTGGTGCCGGCTAGGATGGTTAGCATGGTTCGCTCGGAGTCCCAATGCCCAAAAGGTGTCGCAAATTCACGCCGTCACTTGTTCAGGGGCTGCTGGCCAAGCGTGGAAAGCTTCCCGCTGTTTCAAGGATACAAGTTTTCCAGCATGCTACCGAAACATCCACATCCACCTAGAGTTTCGTTATTCGAGTGAGTTGCAAAGTCCACGCCCGATCTAGGCCTTAGATGGTACCATGCGGCGAATTCAAAAGGGGAGGGCAGGCTCAGTGGCCAGCTCAACAACTATGGGGACAGACCACATAGGGAGTCAAGCGCATGAAAATAAACCTATACATCCTCCTCAGCTGAAAAGTGAGGAACCTCTGTACTGAAAGCTACAAAACCCACTTCAGCTCAGACTGTACTCCTGAGCCAACGGCGAGGTGACCTCAGCCCCAAGGTGAGGTAGGTGGTGTTTACGAACAGGCAAGGTGAGGACAACCGACACGAGTCTTTATTCGCATGCTCACTGGAGAGAAGTGCGCAACATGTAGACACACCCAAGATCCCACCACTGATTGATCAGAAGGGTAGAACCTTACACCCTGGCACTGAGTTTCGTTATTCCGATTCCCTCCTCCTCACTCATGCTTAAGGAGCATGTACAGCCTCAGCAAGCCTCGCGCAAGGCCTGGGCAGTTTCTCTTTTCTGTCTTCCCCCTCTTGCGGCCGTTGCAGGGCAGAGATGTATTCAGATAGTTGGTTTAATTCGGGCAATCAAGCACGATGAGCTTGTGACTACCTCGCTGAGTGTGCTAGCTGGCTGCTTTGGGTTTGGCCCAAACGGCTCGGGATTCAACATGGTATCACACGGTCCATGCGGGGCTGGAACTTATGTTTTCACTTCGTGTGTGAAGTTGAACTCACTTTGCACCGGCGCTGCGGATTGAAGAATGACTCGAGCATGCAAGCTGCTGACTGCAGGCTCTTGCGATCTCCTAGGTGTATCTGATGAGGTCCTCGCTTCCCAAACCCGCGTGAGTGCGGAAACCCCAAATCCGAAGGCTTTTGCAGTTTAGAGTCCCTAGGACAGCCCATGGTGCAGGACATGGGGCAGCCAATGCCCGCCAAAGATGGGACAGCCCATGATGAAGCCAATGGGGCTAGCGTGCCAGCCCATGTCACAGGCGATGGCAATGCAGGTGGGCTGCATGGGGCGGACTCCCGCTTCAAACCCTAGAAAGGCCCTAACAAGCCCGAAGCTTCAAATCCCATTAAGGCTCTGACCCCCAAGTACTAAGCCCAAATTCCTACTAAGCACGCCGCCAGCCGTGCAAAACCGCCGCCGGAAAAGTGCTGCCAAAGTTCGAAAAGGCAAGAAGTCGAAAAGTCGACCAGCGTTCGACTTTTTCGTGTTTTTTTTTTTTTTTTTTGTGCTTTTGGGTGCTTTTCGCACTTTCCGACTTTTCGACTTTTCGCGGCTTTTGGTTCTTTCGACACTTTACGGCAAATTCGTGCTCTTCGACTTGTTGACTTTTCGACTTTTCACACGTTTTGGTCCTTTTCGCGCTTTCAGCATTTTGTGGCACTCTTCTAGCGTGGACGCCCAAGTAAGACAACCACGCCTTAAGCCAAGGTGCACCAACAAGCAAGACAGCCACCCGTCCAGCCAAGACATGCCGACAAGAAGGGTGTAATTGTCTTTGCTTTTTCTCAACCTTTCGCATCTTAGGCTTGCGTCAGTTTTCGACTTTTCATGGTTTTGGGTGCTTTTCGCGCTTTTCGGGACTCTTCGCACGTTTCGACTTTTTCACTTTTCGACTTTTCACTGCGTTTTCTTCTTTTCGCACTTGTTGGGTCTTTTCGGGGCTGTTCGCAAGTTTCGACCTGTCGAGTTTTCGACTTTTCGCGTCCTGGGGCACTTTTCGCGATTTCTGTTTTGTTTTGACGTGTCTCGCATTTTTTCGACTTTCCGACTGTTCGCGGCCTCTTCCACGCAAATCTCTTTGGTCTGAAAGATGTCGTTGCAAGTGCTAGTGCGTCCTCCGTGTGTGAGGCGTTGTTTGCGGGCTGAATGTTTCCTCACACACTTTGTGCACAAGGGCTTTGGCGAGGCCATCGGCTTTAAACTAAATGTTGAGGTCCTGATGCCTGATCGAGGAGGCATATGATTTCTTGTAGGTTGGCTTGGAGATCGTTTCTGGGGTTTCTGAGGCAAAGCCTCTCAGGTTTTCTTCCCTTCTGAAAGCATGCGGTGCCCGCACTGGTGAGTTGCTCGCAATGCGTCCAAAGAGTCAGGGAGGCTGGTTGCAAAAATCACAAGCTATGACCCTGAGTGCAGATGCTGGCGTTGGGCAACAATCTTGTTGGAGCGTTGCGTGTTTGATGTCTTTGGTCAAAGAGTCAAAGAGAGTCATCGGGGTTGCGTGTGCCGCGATTGTCAACTCCACGATGTGCAAGAGGAGCAACAAGATGTGGTGTGGGAAGCGAAACGGGTACCCAGGGTATTGGCCAACCCAGGAACTCTGCTGGCCTGATCACTGGCAAAAGGTGTCGCCTTGAATCCAGACTGCTCTTGATTCATCTAAGAAGACTATACTATACTGGCCCTGACTGTGTCAAGCCTTGATGCGTGGCAGGCAGGGGCAAGCGCCTCCATCCGAAAGCAGACGAAAGTTCGGTGCTCAGTTGCTCCCTTGTGCTTGTAAGCCACCAGACCCTTTCCCCACCATATGTTCCCCTATGTAGCTTGTAAAAAACCCTTGTGCGTTCTCCATAACCAAGGCACAAACGATGAGGCCAAGAGCAAGCGTCTGAGATCGGACTCCAGCTCTGTGACTCTGTAGGCCTCCGATGGCCGTGTCTGGCCGCATAGAATTCGGTCGCTTCTGCTGCGGCGATCTGTAGATTGGTGCTCGCGCAACTCGTGCTGTTCAACTTGTTGGGATCCCCAACACCTGCATGTATTGACATCATGTGGCATTGCTGGTACCCAACCAATGTTTTGCTCAGTATGATGGTCAATCGTCACCTCCTCTGGCTTGCAGCCATGACAGCTGTGCACGCCTCCAAAACGTGTGATCCAAATGCCATGCTGTTGTCCCGACATTCTAGCAACAAAAACTGTTTCGCAGTTACACACACACACACACATGTGGAGACTGATGTGGCTGGCGGGCTGTTTTTCCCGCACAACACTGTGCGAAAGCGGAAGCCTGGATGCTGCAACTGAAGAGCAGTGGCAATCCAGGCCGAATGCCTGAGCAAGACATGGCAGCATTGTGACGTTCAGTGCAGCAGCTATGGGACAGGCACGTTTCACTGGGATTTGCAGGACTCCGTTTGCAAGTTGAGGGCAGCTTGCAGCAGAGGCCGCAGAAAATGCTGAACCGGATACTGTGCGGAGTATATCTTTTGCAGCAGTCGTCCATTGGGCACAGTTATTGCAGCTCTCACGGTTGCAAATGTTTCCCAAACAGCGTGCCAGAGTAAAGTGTAAACGAGTGGTACAGTGATGTGCGCGCGCACGAGCATTCCTCGTTGCCAGGGGCCCGTCGCTTTTGTCTTCGGCGGGAATTCCAGGGGCCAACTGAGGTTTAGCTGTGCCGGCCTCGTGAGGGCCCATCGAGGGAGAAGAGCAGCGCAGCTTACACGTCTTTTTTTTCTGAGTTCGTTCCTGCCGCGCGCTGGGAGCTGGACTGTGTCTCTGCGTGCCCGAGATGATCATCTTCCGGAGGAGCTGGGACGTGCTGCAAAGACCCGCCATGAATCAGAGACTTTCCAGTACGTCACACATGGTTGCTTGACTCTGGAACACCGTTCACATCTCAGGGCATGGTCTGTCGCATGGCTGCGGCATTTGTCAAGCTGCCGGCTCAAACAGCCTCCTTGCCAACTCGCACAACTTTCCTTGTGTGACTTGCGATGGCTTCGCAGGCGGGATGGTCATGAAGCGCTGCAAAATCTGATAAATCTGGGTGTTGTGCCTGCACCGCTGTGCAGGCAGAAAGGTGATGAAGATAAGGCAGCACCGCTGTGCTGCCAAATAAGGGGTAAACAAAAGATTCTGGGCCCTTTTCAATGAGGCGCTTGCTGCAGAGCTCAGCCATGGCCTCACGCGGGCTCAGACCTAGGAACCTTCAGCACCACGCAGTTTCTGTGCCCTGCGGTCACTCAAGAGGTCTTCGCCACCAAGCCGTTCTCGCTGGCCCGCTGGGGCCTTGGGGGCGAACAGAATTGTCCAGAGAGTGGGCTTGCCGTGGGGGGAAAGGCAAACATAGCAGCCTCAGGACATGTATTGACATATTGGTGGTCCAAGTTGGTGGTCCAAGGTATGTGCAGTACGATGCGGGCGACTCGGACGCGATCGTGAATGTTCGGCACCCGGATGCTCAGGTGCAGTACGCTCTGTTGATAGCCGCTGTTATCACCGATGGTTTCTGGGGCCACTTCCCCCCAACAGCCCCCCCCTCCCCCACCGTCGAGAAGCCCAAATGGATTGAGGCCTCGGCGTCCAACGCCAAGCGTTTTTGGGAACTCCTGGAGGACCGGTGGAACGAGCTTTCTCAAAACCTTCAAAACCTAGAAGCAGAGAGGGAGCTAGTTTCACAGCCACGAGAGCCGGCAGACAAAGTTGGTTTGTTTTTTGCCGTTTATTTTGTGAAGCTGAAGTGTCTGTCGCGTTGACCTTGAACTTCCTTTACCCTCTTGCCGATGTCAGTAGTGTGTGCTGGTCTGACTTGTGGGAACGACGCAGGGAGCCGAGCGCAGATTTGCTGAGCTCGAGGCCGGAACCCGGACGGGTGAGCTGATCCCCTTGATCTGCAGGAGAATGAATGATGACCCTTATGTTCAGCTGGACTACCGTACTAATCAGTGGGCGGGCCACCATGCCCTTGGTAGAGTCTCTGTTAGACTTCTGCAGGCGGACTTCTCGGCATCCCCGAAAGAACAGGCAGAAGGGATTGTATGCTTCTGGATGTCGCGCAAGGCCTCCGGGACCAAGATCGTCTCCCAAGCCGTCGCTGCCTTTGCGACATGTGGAGCCCCACTTTACATTTTGCTTGCGGAAACCGAGGCCCTTGTGCCCAATGCACTGGCTGGTGGAGGCGCTTCAGGCCACAATTTTCACCCTTGATGGATGGGCTCCCCGTGTGCAGCCGAGCTTTTTCTCTGCCTCAGGTGACAAGACCGTGATTTTGCAGGGCATCCCCAGACGACTCACTCGGGACATGCTGGTCAAGCAGTTTGCTCAGGACGTGGAGGACTGCTTTTGAAGGATGCTTAGGTTTTTAAGGGTGAGCTATCCTGGCTTACGGCTTCATCATGCTTCAGGATGTTCTATGGGGTTGCCATGGGGCTACCTATCACAGAGTTTCCAGCGCAATGACTCACTCGTGACAGCCTGCTGACTTCGGTAGCATCACGGCCATCAATCTGCCCATCGACCGCAAGACCAAGCAAACCTGGCATGTGTTCATTAACTTGATGTGGAGGCTGCAGCGCAGTTTGGGTAGATAGACTGGCACCGATGGGCGAGAGAGAGCGAGAGAGACAGAAAGAGAGAGAGGGAGAGCGAGAGAGAGAGAGAGAGAGACAGAGAGGGAGGGAGGGAGAGAGAGAGAGAGAGAGAGAGAGAAAGAGAAAGAAACAGAGAGAGTGCCTGTGTGTGTGTGTGTGTGCGTATGCGTGTGCATGTGCGTGTGCGTGCGGTGGACGGTGCAAGCAGCCAAGCAGCCCGCGCACCAGGCGCAACTCTGGCTATGTGTTCGTCAGTTTCAGCGTTTCAGAAGCACGCGATGCCTTTTTTTCACAGCGGGGGCCTTGATTCCCTGATTCTTCGCACAGATTCTGTGCAGCTCTTTCGTTGCGCGTCTCAGCTTTTTGAGGTATCACAACAAAGAGAGCACCGCTTTCTTCAAGCTCGTCAAGCTCGTTGCTGAAACGACAAAGGTCATGTAATCCTGCTAATCGCTGTTACCCAGAGCAGTCTCAGGTCTAAGTCAAGGGCAGCCAAGCATCTCAAAGTTGCACCCGCTCGGGACCGGGAGGATCGGGCAGGGTGGGGACTGAACACAGCATACACGGCCTTCGTGCAGAGCTTGCTGCGCCAACTTTTACATTTTACACATGCCAGGACCACATCCGTCTCGAACAAACAGGCTGGACAAAAACAAGCTCTTTGACAGTATGCGTATGGCCTCCGCTTCTTCGTGTAAGGATATCCGCTCCCTGTCTTGATGGGGCAGGCGCTGACCCTAGAAGCGCTGTGAGTTTGGACGGGGCCAAACATGCTTCAAGTTGTGCATCAGCATGCAGGCGCAGATCTTCTCGGCTGTCTCTCTGAGGCAGCCCCCGGCGCCGCCCACTTTCTTCTACAGCAATGCGCGGGGATCTCGGTGCTGCATCGTGCTGGCAGTCCAATGCCGGCAGAGCAAAGGTACAACCCATTCCTCTGATGTCTATTGACAACCCTCATGGAAAAACCCAGGCTGGTCCATATCTTGTGAGATGGACATTGCGTGTACAAACGCAGACCTGAACCTGTACCCCCGAGACGTGAAGACTTCTGTAGAGGCTGTTCGACCATCACTGGCCTTCGTAAAATATAGACCCTAAGCCAAACCCTAACCCCAATAACCCGAATAGTATGCAGCTTCTGAGTTCCATCATCACAAGGATCACAAGGCAGCCGGACTCCTGCCGGCGGAACGGATGAACTGAGCATCATTTGCAGAGCGGGGAATGCTGCGGACGTTTCACTTCATTGACCAGTCCCTGCTCGGGCTGTCCGCCATGAATCAGAGACTTTCCAGTACGTCACACATGGTTGCTTGACTCTGGAACGTGATTTGTGAAGGAAATCGGAGAATCAGTGCTGTGCAGGCACCATCTAGCTCTGCACATCCATTTGCACGGTCTCTCTCAGTTTCACATGTCAAGGTTTGCGGTGTGCATCATGCAAGTCTTCGGTGTGGTCATCTTTGCTGCAACAGTTGCGAGCTAGGTCACTGCTGTAGTGAACTGGATGACTGCAGCAAAGATGTCACTAATTCCTGGCCACACCACGTTAGGTTCAGCTCTCGTGTCGTGCAGGTCCCCGCTTATCCCTAAGTCCCGCTCCTCAGCGCCCGAATCCTCCAGAGCCCTGAACCCTACTAGGCTGCCCTGTCAGTGCCCTGCGGTGGCAAGGAGCCGACACAGTCGACCGCCGCCCTAAACAGCGGATGAGCCCGGATGGTCAGGCGCTCCGCTGCCATGAAAAACAACAAAGCATATGTTGCTTTTGCCTCAGAAAGGGCTTCGGTTGGTCGCTCGAATTTGCAACTTCTTCTTGCAATGCACTGTACGATATGGCATGCATGCACTCTAGGGGGTGTCCTTTAGCATTAACACTCTTGCAATGTTCAGACGAATGTACGTCGTGATACGCAGTAAAATCCATGGTTGCTCTAAAAAGTTGTTAGTTTCACAATACTGGCATTGTGCGAAGTCCTCAAGCCCAGACGTGCGCCAGTTTAACAAGAAGATCAACAAGGCGAGGAAAGAAAGTCAGAGATTCAAAAAGTTGATTCACCAAAACGAGTATACGAAGCATTGAGGGAGTTATTTCGCCCCAACTAACGTTTACGTGCACGGATATTGATGTGGTTCGCAGAAAAAAACCGTGGTAAGGCAAGGCTGAGGCGATAAGAGGAAAGGTTCATGTATGCGTCGTCAATGATGCAAAAGGCAAGGAAAACGGAACGGCAAAAAGGCCGGGCATTGCAAATCCGACAACAATACAATTCAAGGTTTCGATCGTAGTGGCAGTGCCAAGGGATGTTGTTTGGTGGTCAGACTTTCAGATTTCAGGCTTCTGTTTGCTCGTCCGCAGATTTCCAAAACTGAACAGTGTTTGAATAAGCTCGAAGCCTTTCGAGACTCCAGCACGCCAGAATCCGCCTGGCAACAGAATCCTTACAAATACAACACTTTAGGCTGCAGTGCGAGCCACAAGGGCGCGTGTGGTGTGATTCGTGAAGCTTTGTTGAATACTGGATTTAGGTCATCGTGCGACGTCGTGGATTCCAGTTCAAGATTGCTCTAAGAGCTTCGTGCTTCAAGACCATGTGCCATGCCATATGTTCTGCGCCTGCTGCGCCTGGCCCTCTGGCTGTTTCCAGTGGTCGGGTGCCTCGATTGGTGCACCGAGGGCCGCCAGGTCCGAAACCCATGAGGGTCGATCAATAGACCCCTTCTCCCTTAACAGAAACCTGACTACTCCATTGATATCCCAGTATTCGGGCCTTGTAGAGACACGGGAAGGTTTGTTCCATAAGGGTCTGCATCGCAATTTATGAAGAGAGTCATGAGGCTATAGTCCCCTTCTTTTCACTTTCGTTTGCTCTGGCAGGCCGGAGACCTCTGCTGTGGCCGGGTCTGCGAGAGCTGTGGGCCTTGCGGCTCCGAAACGCGCAAGGACCGAAACCCCGGCGGCGGCGCCTGCTGCGAGGTGAGAGCCCAAAGCCTCCACCAGTTTTGGGCCTATTGATATCTCTTTACAGATCAAAGTATTCTGAAATCCGAACCTTATGGGAAACCCGAATTTGGCATGCAATGCGAGGCCTATTTACGGCGGTTGGGCCGGAGTTGCCACTCGGCGCGGGACGTCTTCTGCCTGGTGCCAACTGGGCCGCCTGCCACAAAGGTGATCTGCTCGAGGTTCCTGTAACCCCGAGCCGGGATGTTTACGATGCTGTTGATAAGTTGATGTTGCAATACCAGAGCAGGGAAATCTTGCAAGCTGACAATAACACGATTTCCTGAATCGAAGCGAGCTCCAAGGCATCCGCCACGCCGCCGTGGGAACGCGAGCTGTGCGGCGGCCGTATCTGCAAGTCTGCCGCTTCTCAGCGGTGTCTTTGTGGCAGTTTGCTGCTGCGTCCTGTTGAAATAGCTTTGTAACAGTAATTGCAAAGGCACCGGCTCGCCCGTCTAGGAAGCCAACAGTGATTGAATGTGCAGCGCATCGCAGGTGCCTTGGTGGTGAAGGAACCGAGCTTATCGAAGTTCGAGCTTTACACGAAAGCCATCCATGCGTGGCATGTTTGCACTGAAATGCTCGGCTCGGCCTTCTGGGAGTTTCAGTTGACGACCTCACACTGGCCAATACGGCGCACGAAGTTTCGTCATCGCATCTTCACAGAGGAAACCTTGCACGTCTTTCTCTGTGCCCCAAGCCCTTCACCGTACACCGGGGTCCTTGCGTCAAGCCCGGCTTGCGTAACGGTCGAGGCTTTATTAAAGGAGGCCCTGCCAGTGACGCTTGACTACACAAAGCAGCTGAATGGTGCGTTAATGGACCAAGAAAGCCCGAAAGGCACGGCCAAGTTTGTGCTGGGGGGGTGGGACAGGCACAAAGAGGTCGTTGAGATGCTGGTGTCCTTGAAGCAGCGTGCGGTGGAGCATGAACTGACCAGAGAGACACCGAAGCTCCGGGCCGCGGTTTGCGTCGCGGGCCTTGCCCGGAGCTTCCACTTGCCTCAGGTGCACGAGTCCATCGCGAATGCCACCAGGAGCTTGAAAGCGGAGACGCAGATTTTCTACGTGCTGGACCTGCAGGGGAGACCTCTAGAAGAGTTTGATCAGGGCTTCACGGCCTTGCCTCCGGACGGCATGGTACTTTATGATGAGGTGCGCGGAACTGGTTTGAGGATGCCGCAGTGTCATTGGGCAGCAGCAAAGTACGCTCACAAGCAATTTGAGAAGTTTCACAGCTGTCAGCATATCATCACAGCGGCCGAGAAGGCACAGAGGAGACGTTTCGACTGGGTGTTGCGGTTGCGCCCAGACTTCGAGTGGCTGGCACCCATAGGAAACCTCAGAGAGTTCACCACCGAAAAGGTGCACATTGTGCTGCACTGGATCCACCCGAATAAGTTCCACGACACCACCGATTACTTCGCGCTTGTCCCGCGCAAGTACATGAAGGCTTATTTCAGCGTGGGCTGCCCATCACGAAGATGGACCCGCATCGCAGCCTTGGAGGACCTGTGCCGCGGCCTCATTTGCAGCTTGGCCCGCGCAGAAAGTGGTTCAGATAAATCTTTCAAAAAGGCGAGAAACACCATCTTTGTGACGGAGGCATATTCTCAGCACTGCGCTTTTCCTCACTTATGGTCACATAAATTCATCCCCTTGTCTTGTACGTGGCGACTGAACTTACGGCGTAAGTTCCTGAGCCATGGCAAAGAGTATGTTTCCCTTATGGCAACTGGAAGCTTTTGGAATCCCTACGCTTAAGGAACCCCAAAGCCTACGTAGGAAGAGCCCAGGTAACCAGTCAGACTGCACAGCGCAGCCCGAGTGCGCCTTGCTGCTTCATCTCCGTGCCCATCAGGTCCCCGTGGAGCCCTTCCCACCCATCGTGACCCGGATCTTAGAGGGAGTTTGGAAACAGAGGAATTTCAGATTGTAGCAGGCCGAGCAATGCTCATTCCAGCCGCAAGACGGGGCACTCCACAGAGGCAGGTCGTAGTGATCGAGCGCTGAGGTGAGAATCTTGCGGGAGTCCACCTGCCACCCTGGAGACTTGAAGTGTCTCCACGGTTGGGACCTGAAAGCATTGGAACGGTACCCCGAACAATGCTTCTTGTGCCACCTGATGTAAAGACTTAAAAAGCGCTCTTCGTGTGGCCTTCCTTTGACTTCTGCACAAGTAAACATGGTTGCAAAGTACCACGCAACTAGCGAGTCAGTCCTCCACAGTGCAGGATGTTTTTGTGAGTTTTCTGTGCCTTTCTCGCTGAACTTCGCGATGCCGTCTCCTGGACCAAGCCGTGAAAGCTCGCCCGGGGGTCGGGCGTGAGGGTGGCCAAGATGGGTTACGGCGTTGGACGAGGGTGCGCCGGAGGGTGTTTGCAGGGTGTGAGCTTGCTGTCGGTGCTTTCCAAAGAGGGGAAGAGCCAAAGCCCCAATACTTTCAGAATTCCCAAATCCCTGTAACCCAACTTAGCCTTTGGATGAACTTCAAGCTTTGGACGTGTCCTTCCCTAGATCTTCATAGTCCTCTCGCGTCGACTGCCAAGCACTGGTGCGCAACGAACTCTTGACTCGTAGGCATCTATTTGGCCTATCAGAGAAAGTTTGAACTTTTTTGGGCGCGGTTGTTGAAGAAGTGAGCAAACCACGCCTCAAAGCGCATCAAACCCTGTTGTAAACCTCGAAGCGCCCCGAAGTGGGAACCTCTCGGCAGGAAGTCCTGGGGCCGTGGCTTTCGAAGCATACGTGACGACGACTGGGGCCGCGGAGGCAGGGACTCGTTGAGCAGGAGGAACTCATACCTGCTTCAAGGGCCCTCATATTAGGATCCCTGCAAATACCCAACATGAAGGGAGGGGATCCACGAGCCAAGCAGCTTGCTTGCCTCTTTTTCACCCCTGGCTGCAGTGACAGGCAAGTCGGCCTGGAATGGGCGTGCCAGCTACAAAGGCAAAGGCAAGGGCAAGGCCTGGGACCGAGCGGCGCCCTTCCTCCGCCTCTCCTCTTCCAAGCACGGGGCCGAAGCTCCGGCCAGGCCTATGGAGGTCGCGGGGGTGGGGTCTGGCGATCGATCGTAAAGCGGCCGTACGGAAAGGCCAGAGCCTCAGAGCCCGAGTAGGACGGGTTGTTCGTGGGTGTAAATTGTTTGTATGATTCTCAGTGCTAATGCTGCAAGGGTTCTTGAAGAAGTAGCATTGTAGGTTACTGCAGTGTCACTGCTTCTTGGGCTTGCGCCGCAATCAGGATGGCCCCGGTCCTTTGTCGATTTGTGGTTCGACCTTCGCAACGTCTTCGGGGTTTTTGCACCTGTACCTCCTCAATCCCTTCCCTCTTTGAGAGCAGCTTTCCTGATCAGGCCTACGGCCGAGGAAAAGGCGCGACCTCCGCGACAGAGAGAGCTGGCAAAGTCCAGGGTTACGATCAAGTGTTTGTCAAACGAAATTGGGCCTGGCAAAGCCCGGCAATCCAATCATATGTTTCGGGAGGGGCCTTCGTGCAGGCCAGAAAGGCTGGTACGGCTATGGCGGCTACGGCCGCGGTCGCTACGGTTACGGCCGTGGACGTCGCAGCCTTAACGACAACGTCCGTCTTGTTTAGGTGCATCACTTCTTCCGGAATTGTGATTTTGGGACACACGAGGCTTCTCGCGTATTCCCTTGTGCGAGAGAGAGCCCAGAGCTCGAATGCCGAGGATATGGTAGAGGGAGCTACGGCCGCGGGGGCAAAGGAGCGCCGGCTGAGCTTCGCATCTTTGCCTCTTGAGATGTTTGACCGCAGACCTCTCAAGTCAGCTCTCTCCCGATGTCCGAGCCTCGAAGTTTGCCTGAATCCCTGCTGCAGGCCGAGGGTACAAAGGAGGCCACGGCCGAATCTCGCGGAGAGATTGCACGAATGTGCTCGGCATTCTTGCAGTACTCTTACCCTTCCGCAGACTTTGTCCTGAGCGCCGTGGCAGGCCGAAAAGGCAAGGGCAAGGGAAAGGGCAAGGGAAAGAGGAACCAGGCGAGACACCGGGGTTTTCTGTGCCTGTGTCCAGCGTTAACGGTGAAGTCGTGCAGGTCACCAAGGAGATGCTAGACCGCCAGTTGGAGGAATACATGGGGCCGGACGCGATGAAGGCTGGAGTTGTGGTGGGCTCGCAAACGCTGTGTTGGCACCTCGATTCGGTGTAAAGCTGACCGAATTAAGGCAAGGTGCTTCTGACCCTGCTTCCTGACTCCCCTACTCCTCAACGTAGAAGCGAAGCCTCAGTGGCTACCGAAGTCCGTCGCTCACGGAGGCCATGCTAGACCTGGAGTTGGAAGCCTACTTCAAGGAACGCTGGGCAGCCGTGGGGAAAAACCTTCGGGGAGGGAGAGAATCTATCATATGTGGAGTGGGTTGGGTTTAGGTACCCCAACTTCACAGATGGCAGTTTGAGCATTAGGAGAACGACTCTCCGAATTCGACTGTGTCTGTGTGCGTGTGTGCGCGCGTCACGGTGCAGTGGAACCTGTACATGTGGACCTTTCAGCACAGTCCTGCTTTGAGTGTTCAGGACAAGAAAAGCTTGGAAGCTCCGAAAGCAGAGGCCGTCGGCGCCTCAGGCTGAAGTGGTGCCAGGGCCCTGGCTGCCCTGGTTGATCCCAAGGCCGGCAATCCATGAGAACGACCGGCCTGGTCTGATCTGCGCGCAGAGAGAAAAACGAAGATCGTCGAGCCTTCGCTTCTGCGCTTTGCGTCCCTCGTCCCTTCGCTTCTGGTCTTCTGACCCTGCTTCCTGGCACCTAAGAAAGGCCATTAGTGAGCCACATTCCCCAGAGCTTCTTGTGACATGGTGTCCGTTCGACAATGGTGGCGTCACACAGCTACGTACAGCGCCCTGCACAGATTTGCACAGCGCGATTTGGCATTCGGGTGTCTAGATATACTGGATAAGGCACCAGGGTCCTCGTGTTTGTAACTAGCGTCGAATGTGACCGGTTTGAGATTTCAGTGTTGAAGTATAGACTGTTAGGTTTAGGTTTCGGTGTTTGGGCTTAAAGCCCGGGGCTTTTGGGGAGTGGGGTGGTGGGGCTGGCAAGTATAGGCCTCAAGTTGGGGATTGCAGGGGTTCAGTTTTACTATGGGCGCCTGAATAGTTCGAAAAAAGCTTTTGGGTAAACTATGGTATAGTGATAGTATGGTAATTATTCAAACTTCTATGTTAGGGTGGGCAGCTGAAGGTTAATAGATGATCTATCAATTCAAGAGATTGTTTCATTCATCTTCGAAAACTTCGTCATTCTGTCTCACGGGACTGAGGATCTAGGATCTTTACCTTCGGGGCATAGCCGGTGCTCCGGTCTAACTGTGCCTGTGGGTAGCAATGCTGGCTTCGAGATCTGCTTGAGGGCTAACAGCGAAGCATGGCATACTACTACGACTATATATATATATATATAGTATGATAGCCCAGAAGATGAGCGTTGTGTGCACAAGACGGTACGATAAAACCTCGTACTGTATAGTTTGTTAGGCTTCTCAGCGGTTCACTTTGGATGGGTTTGTGAAATTCCTGACGTGTCAGGGCGGTGCAGCATGAGCACAGCAGCAGCAAAAATCAGTCGGCTTGACCGCTGGAGAAGCAAAAACTTTTCCGTCATGTCTTCGATAAGATTTGCGCAATAGACAGTGCCAAAGTTGGTGTAGTTGCGCGATCTGTGAATTGGGGAATGGCTTGCACACAGCAAGCTCCGGCAATTCCGCAGGGGGCTTAGCTCCTCATACAGTCGGAAATACCGTCGTTTGACATGCAAATAGATATTGAGATGCACCTACGTATCTATGAGAAACCAGTATGTTTTGTATGTTATGCGGACATGCATGCAGGAATGGCCAATGTACGCACGTAGGTATGCATGCATGCATGTATGTAGGTACGTATGTGTGTAGGCATGCACGTAGGTATGTAGGCTATGTATGCATTTATGTTTCTTGTTTGTTTGTTTGCGTGCTTGCTTGCGTTCTTGCGTGCTTGCTTGTTCGTTTGCCCGTATGTTTGCGTGCTTGAATGTACGCATGTTTGCCGTAGGTATGTACATAGGTACGGGTACATAGGTACAGGTATGTATGTGCGTAGCTAGGTATGTGTGTTTGTGTGCATCATGTAGCATATACCGTATGAATACAATATCATCCATTTGTTATTTGTGTTCGCATTTTCAGAACGTCTATTTACTGTCTATGTCCAGCTCTATGCCTCTATGCCTGCCCGATCTCGACCTCGATCTCTGTGTCTCTCCGTTCCTCTACCTCTGTCTGTCTATAGGTCACATCTAGGTCTCTCTCTCTCTCTCTCTTTGTCTCTGCTCTCCCCCCCTCTCCTCCATCTATCTATCGATGCTTGTGTCTAGTTATCTTTCTATCTATCTGTCTATGTATTTATCTATCTTTCGATCTGGCTATCCATCAATCTATCCATCTATCGAGATCGAGCGAGAGAGGCTCCAGTGTTACATACTTGTGATGGCCGAATGTTCGAGTATCTTGGTGCTTTATTTGTTCGTTTGGAGCTTAAGTACGAGATTTAGGGCCTTCGCATGTATTTGAGCTCCCTGATTTGACCCCCTCCTTTTGTACGGGCCTTGAGATGAGATAATTAGGATCCCCATTCAGGCCTTGAAGGATTTAACTGTGGCGTGTTTCTTCTCTAGGTCCAAGTAGTCGGTGGATCAATGGTGTCGCAGGTACAGGCCGCGTTGTAGAGCAATATCAGCTACCGTCATGCAAACTCTGTCTTGGTGCTCAGAAGGCATCAAACGTAACTTTACGGCGAGACTGCGAGAAACACAAATTCACGACGGGACGGCTTGTTCGGTGGAAACCGAGCCTATCTCTGCACAGTCCCGAGGCCTTCGGCGTCTTCATCGCCCCAGAACGACATTCGCTTGCAAGGTATCTTTGCAGAGGCCGCTAGCGACATGTTAGTAGTGTCAACAACTTGTTTTGCGATGCTACCGGCTCTTGGATATTTTGATTTTCGGTTTTGCTATAAGTTCTGATTCCTCAGGCTGAAGCGCCCCTGCAAACCCTAACCCTATTGCCCATAGCCCATGAAGTATGCCATGAAGCAGAATGTGCAGCAGATTCAGATTCAAGCTTGTCTGCCATGCGGAGGAATGGATCTGTTCTGACTCGGCGTGCTGCTTTTTCACCTTGAACCCTAAACCCTAAACCCAAATCCCTAAACCCAGAGGCAGCCAGGCAGTGAGTGTGCTCTGCTCGGTTTCGGGGTGTTTAGAGAGTCCTAAATAAATTGTCGATCCCTACTGGTATCAATATTCTTCTAAAATGACTTTCATTCTTTCAATATTTTGTTATTGCTTGTGCCACCACTGTTACTAATATTACCATGATGGTTATTGCTGTTTTTGGCACAATGCCCCTGCCATTTTCCTTTTTCGTATTGCTACTATTGTTACTACGACTAACCACTACGAATATTACATGTACTCGTACGACGACTAGTTTTTTGATATTATTGTTGCTATTCACATTACCGTTACTAGTGTTATTGTTATTACTACTGTTATTGCTACAAATACTCCTATCACTCCTCAACATTGCAGACAAGAGATTGCGCATTGTACTTCCCCAAGCCCCTAAACCCCGAGAGCCCCTAAACCCCGTATTGCGAGTGGGCATAGATGAAGGGTTGGCTTAAAGTTGGTAAATGCAACCAAGAGGCAATGACACGGCGCACAAAGTCTCGAGCATTGTAGCCAGCAGTGCTAGGACCTGGACGTTGCATCGTACTACCCGTCAGAAGCTTGGCCCGGGTCCCAGCTGCAGGGTTCAGATGGTGGACGTGACTTTTGCCCGTTGCCTATCACCTTACCGTCGCTGCTACCACGTATTGATGCAGTGCGCAGCCTTTGTGAAGTTTGTACCCAAAGGTTGCAGCAATGGCTCGCGAATCAGAAGACGTGGCAGTCGTGGCCTTTGATTCTGTCACTAGCCATGCCAAGATCCTGCACGTGTCATCATGGAAGGGTCGCGCTTGGTACGCGCAGGCAGTTTGCTCGGAGCAGTCGCTCAATTACTTGAGGCTTGCTGATGCTCATGATGCGCAGCCCTTTTTTTGGGCTGGCGGCAACTTGTGGTGTGCTGATGACCATCGGGAGCCGAGAAGCCTACACCCATTGTTGTCTACGTGTTCAGTTGAGCTGTTTAATCCCGCTCTGCCCCAAGAACCAAGCATCGGCACCAGTGAGCGTCGCTTGGGCCTGCCGGAAACTTTACATCCGCTAAACCCTGGACGTACGTGTAAGAGCACGGCAGAGGACAGTTTGCACTTGAGTCGCCTCTCGTCCCGCTGCACTGAGTGTCTGGCCGCAGCCCCTCATCCCCAATCGGACACCCGTGGATGTGAGGCTCTTTGATGCTCCTGACGCCAAGGTTTGCGGTTTGCGGGGCCGCTAGCCACTAGGCCAAAAATCCCCCCCCCCCCTGCGCTGGCTCAGCGCTCTCACGCGCTCGCGTCGTTTTTTCCGGATCCAATGGCACGGTGGACTTTGCTCTGGAGCTTAAAGTGATTACCTGCGGCCCGGCAATTCTCAGACAAGCTCCTCAGACGCCAGGCACGATGCCAATGAAGTCCATTTCAGGAAACAGCAGTTGTTCCAGCAATAGCAGCAGCATCGAGCGGCTGTCTTTCGCCTCCACATCGGACTGACAGGTGCCCTGGCAGCGTCACGATGTTCCAACAGGACTGTGACTCTCCAGCTTTCGCAGCTTGCAGTTAAACTTTGAGCGCGCTGCGTCCATGCAGGACAAGATGCAGGCTGGGGTTCAGGGTCGGCTGAGAGTCGAGCGGTTCAGCTTCATGAGCACAATATGAGGCTGAGTACTGGATGAGTCCTCCAAGTCCGAATTCAGACCCGTTGCCCGAGGACTGCAATTCGGTTTCAGTTGGTGAACAGCTGTGCCGGCTTCACACCTAATCAAGAAACGTGTCGAAGTGACTTGGGGACTGTTTTCGACTTTGAGATGTTTATGCAACATGGGTTAAGAGTTTAGTATTTTCAGTGATTAGGCCATCGAGAAGGCTGAGCTTTTGATGAGGTTTCGTCGGGGACGGGCGTTTGCGGGCTGAGAATTTCGGGAAACTCTTTATTCTGAATTCTCCAGCGCCGAAACCTGCAAACCCTGCAGTGTAGACACACCCAGGTCCTCCGACACTGCTCTCAGTGTAATTTGTGCACGTGTGAAGTATCATGTTGTGTGTACGGCATTGTGGCACAAGTGCTCTAACAGGAAAAAGGTAGTGACCGAATGGTACAAGCCGTGCTGTTATCACTTGGACGGGTATATACAACAGTGCGTGTGTGCAGTGGTTTACAACAACTTTAGGTTATCAGCCGCATCGCTCGTGAAATCGATGCTGACTGCGAGACCGTGACCCAAAACTCCGGGGGGTCAAAAACCTGGACGGGCAGCCATGTGCTTATGAGCGCCTAACATGAGGGTCCGGTGGCTCACACCCTCAGGCCATGAAGCTCTGGCTGAAAAAGCGCAGCTTGGCGCCACTGGTTGTGCTCCGCCCTTTGCGGTGCTGCGAGTGCCTTACTTGGGGAGGCAAAAGCCCATGCCGAACAGCGGGGGCCCGTGTGGGGGGGAAAAGCTCCACATCAGTGCCTGTGGCGGGAGGGCAAAATCCTGCTAGTGTCGTGAAGGGAAACGGGGACTCGTTGGCGAACCACGCTGTTGCTCACCAAAGCGGGGGGTGTTGTTTCCCTCCAAGCAGTAGCCCTCAAGACGCCTTGCCGGCGTGCGTCTTACCTTGCTTGTAGCTGCGCAGTCCTGCAGTTACGGCTGGGTAAGGGTGGGCACATGCAAAGTATTGTTGGCTGTTGTTTCCCTCCAAGCAGTAGCCCTCAAGACGCCTTGCCGGCGTGCGTCTTACCTTGCTTGTAGCTGCGCAGTCCTGCAGTTACGGCTGGGTAAGGGTGGGCACATGCAAAGTATTGTTGGCGGAATTGCCGAGACTATAGGTTATCAGCCGTATAGCCTACGGCCTGGTCACAACTGGTTGGTTACAATACAATCAATCAGCGCATGAGCGAACCGGAACTTATTCCTGCAAGTATGGATACAGTTACAAGCACCGTGAACCCTTTACAGCCCCCGGTCACGGGTGGCCATACAGGGAGCGGCGCCCCCGGCTTAGTTTTCCCGGCACCAGCCTCAGTCCAACAATTCAACGTCTTCGCACCACAGTATAGTGTTGAAGTACACGTTAACCAGATCAGACTGGAAGTCGGAGAACTAGAGGCTCAGGCAGAAGCAAGACACAGGCAACACATGCTGACCTATCAAGAAGCATCCGCAATTCATACAGCTGACTTGGAGCACAGAGCAGAAAGAAACCACCTTGAAGTGGTAGCAGAACTGCAAGCAGCCTTGGCACAAAGCGAGTTCAAGGCGGCAAATCGCGAAAGGCTCCTGTTGTCGGAAATGACTTTAAGTCAAGCGCATACCTATGACGAAGATCAAAGGTTGCGTCAAGAGTTAGCGGAACTTCAACAAAGCCGAATCACAGACGCATTGGATCAACATTTGGCGGAATCACGCTTTGCACAGAACCTCGAAGAACAGGCGAGACGGCACATCGAGAATTCCCAGGAAGTCATGGTTGAACAGTTCCAAGCACACTTTGAGTTGTTTAGGAACAGGCAGAAAGAAGAGTATGAGGCGTCCCTTGCTGTATGTAGGGAACAGAATGAAGAGCTGCAGGACAGGTTGGATTCTGCGGAAACTGCACTAGAGAAGGTCTTGGATCAGTACAATCCAGCTACTCCAAAGAGTCAGCCAGTGCCTGCTCCAAGCACCCCTGCAGGTCCCTCTGTCGTCCCCAAAGCTCCTCAAGCGCCCATGTTCTCAATGCCGAACGTTATCCCCCAAGGCGCCAGATGTCTGTTCGAGTCAATGAATCCAGGAGGTTTGAATGCTCAGTCCATTCCGTCTGCAACAGCATCTTCAATCCCCAAGGCAGGACCTTCCCAGGCAGCGCCAGGAACAGCGGCCCCTCCAGCGGCCGATTCCGGCACGCCAGGGACGGACGCTTTCAACACAGGTCTCCTAGAGACCCAAATGGCAATTCTTCAAAGCCTAAGAAACATAAGGGGTGAGAGCAAAGTCGATGCTGACAAACCCAAAGTGAAAGAAGCAGAGTCCATCAGCCTTCCGGAGTTTCCAAGTCCAGAGTCGTACCGTTCGTGGAAAACGGCAGCTAGGGAAGCGGTCAGGGCAGCATCAGATTCACCTGATGAGGCGTTTAAATGGGTGATGAAGGCCTACGACAAAGACGCATCGCAGGAATCCCTTCGAGACCCCGAGAAATTCCTCACCCTTGACACGAAACTTCTTGCTGCACTCACCAAAGTCGCTAGGGGAGAACTCTCCCGAGAAATCCTCATTTTTAAGGAGACAGAAGCGGCGAAATTCAGGGCGGTACGAGGACGACAGGTGCTCTACCTCTTCGATCAGTACTTCAAGACGAACGAGGAGGTTGGATCACTGTACTCCGTGGAGGACCTGCTGAAAGTAAGGTTAATCAATGACGACCTTTCAGTGTTCATTAGCAACTGGGAATCTGTCATGTCTGGACTTAGCCACACACCGGACGAAACGACCCTAAGAGACATTTTCCTTCGTGAACTCAGGCAGTCCAAGAGGCTAAAGTACGATCTTGAGATTTACGACAGGGCATCAGAGGGCACGGATCAGCACACGTACAGGTTTCTTGTGAAGTCACTTAAGGATCTTTTGACCCGAGAGCGCAAACGCAAGAACCGTGACCGCATCGCAAGATCTCACGGAGATAAGTACGGTGCCCCTGCCTCAAAGTCTCCTGGCCGAACTTCCAGCCCCTCTTCAAGAGGAGGCCGTGGCAGATCGCAGAGCCCAAGGCCAAGATCACCCAGCAAAGGTAGATCCCAGTCTCCCAGCAAGCCTAGGACACCTAGCCCAAAGGGAGTATGCTACGATTTCCTCAAAGGAACTTGCAAGCGAGGCAATAACTGCCCTTTCCTTCACAAGAAGAGATCATTGTCCCCCAAAGGCGACAAACCGAAGAAGAAAATCAACGTGACATGCAAGTTCTGGAAAGAAGGCAACTGCAACAAGGGTGATAAATGTCGGTTTCAGCATAAGGACATAGAGAAGCCGTCAGCTCCCGCACCCAAGTCCGAAGCAGCCCCGGCAGCTCCAAAGCCAGGGTCACCCAGGGCCAACTCTCCTGCTCCGCGCAGAGGGAGAAGTCCCAGGGCTAAGTCAAGTGACAAGGCCCCAAAGACGGCCGCATGCGCCATCGCGTTCGAGAATACAGCGGATCTTGAGATCTCGCCAAAGCTCGCTATGGCAGCGTCACACGACGAGGACTACTGGGAGGTAGACTTCACCGGCAACAAAATCATCCGCCATCACAAGAAGTACCGAACAGATTGGTATGTTCCTGACAATTCATGTCCTGTGAACCCCAAGAAGCTTAGGAGCCAAGCTAAGCTCGAGCAGGTTTTGCCGGTCTCCCCTTTTGTTGGAAACAAGATCTACAACTGGAGGAAGACCCCAACCAAAGGACCCGGCAGCACATGGGTAGGTAAGACGATCTTCTACATGCAAGAACTCCCTAAGGTGAGTTTCGACAGCACCGTAGAAATGATTGCCATCGAACCGGAAGGAAAGCAGAGAAAGCATGCCTACCTTCCCAGGGTTTATGATGAAGTCTATCCCACTGTCGAGGCATGTCCACGCTCGAATCCTAAGGATCTGAAAAGGGCTCTTGTGTGGGCAAAGCAGTTTGCCACCATGATCGAATGCATGGTTCACGAAACGCCTGCGGGATGCGGGTATGAATGCATGGAGGAAGGCTTCCTCTGCGAGGAGTGCGAGCGACTTGCACGTCCGTCATGTGCAGGTCTGGTCCCCGGCTTAGAATTCCTAGCGGACACCGGAAGTGAAGAAGACCTCATCAGCAAGTCGGACTGCAGAACTCACTTCCCCGACGTACCCATTGAACCTGCCTCACGTCCTGTTTCGTTGATCACCGCCAACGGGCCGGTAAAAGGTAATGAAGCCGTTAAGCTAGAGGTCCCTGAAATCAACAAAATCCTCGAATGCTACGTGCTAGATTCAACGCCGCCGGTGTGCTCTGTTGGTAGGAGATGTATGGATGAGGGTTTCGATTTCCATTGGTACGCAGGGAAGACGCCTTACTTCGTGACACCCGAAGGCCGGAAACTTTACTGCAAGCTGCGCGGACGAGTCCCGGTAATTGGGGATGGTACAATCGCTGTTCCCGCCAAGGATGAGAAGGCGGCTCATTCGCCAGTCATCCAGGCAACATCGGGTTTTCCCCGTTCAGCGGCCTAATAAGGCACGCCAATGCAGCAGAATCCGAGCCGGAAGGCGAATCCTCGGGCAGTGGCCTCGACCCCAGGATTGAAAAAGCACTGAAAGAGGCTGCTCCGTTAGGTATAAAGGCGGAGTACTTGAACAAACCAGGTTGGGTTTCGCATCCTTCCTTTCCACAGATGATCGTGGGGCACTTTCCCAAAACCTTTAGAACGCCTGCTACAAGGTTTCCAAAACACGTCATCCGGAGTACTTGGACTTATGTCAAGAAATGGCAGGAGATCGAAAAAGAAGTGGATGTAAGGACGTTGGACAATCGGGTAGCCAAGCTCCCTTCTGATGCCTGCATTCTCAGTGTAACGATCTTTAAAAGACCTGTTGATGACCCCGAGCCGGAGCCTGACAGCGAAAGAGAAGCTGAAGCTGACCCAAAGGACGAAAAACGTTCAGCCCAGCTCAAGCTGCAGGCCAATAGCCCGGAGCACAAATTCACCCACCGTCCTAAGAACCCTTTCTGCAAGGTATGCCAAAAGGCCAA